CAGGTTAAAGCCTGGACATGTCACACTGGATTTACATTTTATATTTGATGAATTATTGACGTTTTTTAGTACATTTTGGATACAATTTTTCATTACAAATATTCATTCTGTGTATTATCTATTGTTTTTTTCTTGTTTCTAATTACTTATGTAGTAAATTATTTGGATTATGGCCGTTCTGACTCTCCATACCTTTGATCACTTGGAGCAGGAAAGCATCAATACCCATCAGTGTACCTATTATGCACTCTCCCTTAGATGTATCTTAAAGGGAGTTATAATGAATTAAGGTCCTTGGGACAGTTGCAGACTCTTTAGAGCTGTGTTGAACATTGAAAAATGGGCCAAGGGCTTTTGGCTTTTTTCATTAAGCTAAATGGAACAATGGCCGTGATGTTTTTACTTGATAAAATATGGGCCGAGGGGATTTGGGATTTTGTGTAGCATAAGAGATGTTCTTTTTTAACTGGGACAAGGACTTGTGTGCTGTCAGGTCACAGTTTTGTGTGTTAAACAGCTGCGGCTTGATGAGACCCTCCACACTGTGTTCTGGAGTATATATATCAGGTTCATGTTAATACCCTATTTGGCTGGTAATTTATGGCATGTCTCTTCAGGTTTGTGACGCCGTTTTGCTCTGGTAGCATGAACCTATTTTTTTGTAGAATTTAAATGAGAAAGCTGCTTTACCTGTTTTTGTTTTTTTTAAGCTTTATCATTTATTGAGGCAGAACAGCAGATTGTGACTTAAAGGTCACATTTGAAAAAGAAACAGCACCCACTGATTAACAAATTTAACACCTGGATAGCATTATGCAAAAATCTAATAAGTTAGATTTAATTAAAAAAAAAAGATTTTTACTTGAAATATGTCAACTTATTGCTAGCGTTTAAAGGTTTGATATTCCAAATTATCTTTACCCCTGATAATTATGTGCTTGTTTGCAGGTGTTATTAACAAACTGCAATGAGGTATAGCTTGAAAGTGCAGTACATCCACAAAGTATTTTCAAATATAATATTTTTAGTTTATTTTTTAGGCCTTTCAAAAAAAAGGTCAATATTTCAGAGTAATAGCAACATAGCCAGAGTCAAGCGTTCATAGCCATAGGTACATATCTACACCAGAGATCATTGAGTTATTGTCCACCTCTCTGACAGGATTTTTTTTTTCTGGTCACACATTTAAAAAAAGGCATGCTTAAAATAATAAAGCATGATTTTTTTTTTTTTTTGTCAAGCATATCCCAAATGGATGCACTCAAAGAAATATTTCACCCAAACTTCAGGAAATATGCTATTTTAATTAAATAGCAAAGTCCTATGTACTTTGTTTATAGATTTTTAAAAAAATTATGCATATTCATTTGTACAGTGAAGCTTATTGATTTAAAATACATAATCATCAGGTTTAAGAAATCAGTTATAATAAAGTAGACTTATTCAAAATGAATACTAAGGATTATATTTATTTGAAATCCATTAAGTTTATTGCAATACTTTTGGGTTTTGGATTTGAAATGAAGGGAAATTTAACAACATCCGCTGGGAGCCGTACGATTTTCACAGTCATGCTCCATTTTTTATTACATTTTAAGAGAAGAAATCTATAATAAACACTTTCAAGCAGTTACACATTACAATAAGGTAATCAGATTTTGACTTAGGATGATAACGACTGTTCTGTTTGGAGAGGGAGATCAGTGTTTTTTAGTAAAGAGAAATGTTTTGTCACTGAGTAATATTGTCAAACTGGCCTTATTTAATAGGTTTGAATATATTACACGTCTTGCTAATGATTGAGAAATCACTTTGTATCAAATGGCTGTTCCTACTCTTCCACATACTAAGCAAATCTGTTGCCTTCCCCTGTTTATCACTCTTTTCCTCTTTTTCTTTTCAAGGTTCATGTCAGGGAATTCTTAAATCTCAAAATATGTAAGTGTGGGGGAGAAATATAGTCTCATGTTAAGAAGAAACATTCATTAAATAACAAAACAAAACAACAAATAGACTTTAGATAAATGGGAGATTATTATTAAGATCCAAGGAGAATAAATATCTAAATATTGTTGACCCTGTGAGACAGTAGGGAACAAGCATACTGACCTTGCAGGTGACAGCTGACCCATAACCGTCACGGTGCAATCAACAGTGAAGCAAGGTGAGGACCCTGATGCCAGAGATACAAGGAGATCTGGTGGCTATTGGAGCCAAATCTGAAGATCTGGCTGACAAAAATATTCCTGTTAAAGAAAACTTAAGTATTTAAATTTGTTTGTAATGGCTATGCTGGAGTCCATGACTAAAGACTGAAAAACTGCATGTTGACATTTAGAGAGTTTGTCCTAAGAGACTGACTGATTCATACAACATCATGGAGTGCCAAGTCAAAATGTGAGCTTTTTTTAAATTTATTTATTTATTTATTTTTTTTACAAATTCCCGCCAAGGAGACGAGATGCATTTCAAGAACAGAATGTGTTGAATTCTGCTTGTAACTGTGGCTTATTTGCAAGACTTGGTTGAATTGGAGTTAAAAAACTGTGGGTTTGATTTTAGCTTCCTCCCCAAACTCATGCAGATGTGCCTCTAGATAAGGCACATAACCTAACATAGTCTACAGAACCATCTAATTTAAAGGCGCTTTAAGAGGTCCTATGAGGTGAAATTGTTATATCAAAGCATTTTCGCTTTTCTGGCTAAAAGAAGGAAGCACATTGCTTTGTATGCCTGTGAAATCTGACATTTTTATTTCTATATAAGACTGTAGGACACAGAAATAGCTATAGATCATCTGTCTACAGAGTTTATCAGTTTATCGATAAAATATATTCCCACTAAATAAAGAGATATGGGACAAAGCAAACCATATATGAACCTTCACACAGATCTTTCAGTATTTCTCTCTCTCTCCTGTTTCCATCTCCTTGTCTGCTCTCATTCCTTCTGCTGCTGTTGATTCTGATGGCTTCTGTCAGCTTGTTGCAGATTTTACCCGTTCAGCTCTGTGGCTTTGGGAGTTTGCGTGCACCTCGTTGTCTCTCCACTCTCCGTGGATGTTTGGCCATGATGACACACTTCACAGTCCTCTGAGAGGAATAAATCTTTAAATGTGCTAACTTCTACATAACATGTCTGTACTCAGAA